AACTCAAAAAATGTCAGACATCGTTTTTTGATATAATTTGTAAAATGTAGTTAAGAGTTTATTTAGAAGATTCAAAGATCTGGAAATCCAGCAAAACTTGTTTTTCAAATTCTAATCATCCAGTTTTGCGACAAACACACTAAGGGGTGTGCAATTCGAATACGGGTAACTGAGCAAAATTAAAACTTGTTGTAAAAGAAATTGTATACCCGGATTTTACTCGAAAAAAAATTCTAAATAACGTTTTTATCAAATAAGTTAAGGGGTTAAGTTGAAAAACGCTTTTTGGCGACACTTCGCCTTTTTATACTTTGTATAAATAAAGCCGGATTATTATTATTATTAAGTTAGGTATAAGTCTCTAGAAGAATAATTGTAGGGGGTCAAAAATTGAGAACGAATAGCCGAAAAGTGCATTGAATAAATATAAAATAGCCAAAAGGCCTTTGTGGTGATTAACATCAAAAAATCTTGAAAGATGCTCAAGCTATCCAGCTGCTGAAGCAAATTAGATATACAGGGTGACTTTTTAGTATATGCTTGATCAATATCTTAATTACTATGTGGAAAGTTGCTATTTTCCAACTACAAGCTTCCGTTTTAGAAAATACCATATGAGTATTAGTCATAATTCCACAATTTTTCTAAAAGTGATAAGCGGTGTAAAACTTTTCTAAACTCACTTATGATATTTGGCTTGCCACTTAGCGCAAGGAAAAGAGATTCAAATCTATCTGAAAATTCCACGTAACTCGGCGCAATACCGGATTTAGAATCGCACTCATTCCGATCTGAATTTGAATCCATGTAAACGTAGTTAACCATCTCCATTATCCGTGACCAACGCAGGTACTATTTTGAGGAGCGTACTACATTCAAACTATATTTACTTTTTATAGTCTATTATTCGGATTCATTTGTTTACAAACTACTTTTCGATTGCTTTAACTGTGTTCATAAAATTCATCTCAGGACGACTGTACTGAAAAGCATTGTGCAGGTGTTAAAATTGAATTTCCGTTGCTGTCCTGCTTCGTATTCAGAACCACGCGTCGATATATCTCGTTCGATAGACGCGTTTGAAATAAATTCATTTTTCCTACCTCGCCGACTTACGTGGTCCTTTCGGAACATTTCATCGGGTTAGCAGGAATGAAAAAATAATTTTGTCCAATTCCTTCCTTTTAAGGTAGGTAAAGGTGAGTGCATAACTATTTCGCACCACAGTTCTTTGCACAACGTCAGTATCAGGATCGCAGCTACCGCTGAATTAGCGGTATCAATGATACTTCCCCTAAGTAAGAAAATAAATTGTTTTTACAATCTCACGCAAATTTTTAGAGTGTACAATAAATTCTAAATTATCAAGCGCTAACCTGTGAGAGTCAAATAATACAGCGCAATATGGCTGACATCTTTGCTCCTCAAAGATTGTTGTCACGTGTCAAAATCACGTAACCCTTTTTTTACCATTTTGATGACTTACTAGTAATTTGAATTTCTCTTTATTAATGGTAGAGTGCCCATTCCTAGGCCCAACTATTTTCAATGATTTTCTTTTGGTAAATTTCATAGTTTATTTATTCCGTAATTTCACACGTATTGTATCTTTCTCTCTGAGTGATTCAGTATTGTGTTGGAAAGAACAACTCTGGAGTTTATCTCCGTTACTTGGTTTTCTGTCAAACATATCTTCTTCAAGGCAACTCACTGAACGGTCCTTTATAAAGTTAGGTGTGTGTTCAACCTCCAGTTTTTGGGATATTAGGTGCCGAACTCCAGTTTGTGAAGTAGCACCCCTTCATATAATGCCTTACGTTTAGATGTTTTGGTTTGGGTGTTTCGCCGTCCATTTTCTTATGAGATTTTAACCTTTTTTTCTTATACCATCGGACTACGTGCAGTAATGCCTGTCCTGAAGAAGTTTGTTCAATATCTGCTTCCTTTTTTATTGGGAGGCATTGGGGAGAACCACCATACACTCCTCCAGCTTTGCTTGTAGCTGTTTTGCAGCTGGTATTGCCGAAAGCTTCCCCTTCCCCTTAGCAAAACAGAGTCTGATGTGAGCAGGTAAAACATTTTAATTAACTATTTTATAGATATTATTTATATATTGATTATCGCTGACTGAAATTCTTAGAGTGTACTTTGATTTTGTTTGGCATTTTACGTATTTAAATATGGGGCAGTGCCTATGTGGCACCTTCTATTGGGCATTACATTACGTCGATCACGATTTTGATTTTTGAGCTGCCATAACTTTATTTTAGAACAAGGTATACATTTCTGAGGGCATATCACTTTAGTACATTTTTATATTCATTTTACCTTTGCTATACTTTTCTGACAAAAAAATGTACATGGTTTTTCTGTTAGTTTGAGTGTTTTCAATGAGTAGTTTTGTCTCAGATTGGTTAATAGGTGCATAGGGGCGGTGGGCATAGTGGTAGACTCCTTGGTCTAATGATCAGTCGCCGTGCGCTGCGCGAGTTCGAATCCCGTCCTAAGGGAAATTTTTATCCTGGCTACGGATGCTGTGATTGTCCATAGGTGGTAGACGGTCTCTGACTGTCGAACGCGGAGGTACCACCCAGCGGAGCCAGTATTTGTGCATGTTGCGGAGTCCGTTTGGCCCCTATAGCCCCACGGTACCCCATGGGTGTTTAGGACTTAGGCCTTTGTGGTAGGTAGTTGAAGTATAAAACAAATAACATATCAACCAGGTAAATAAACCGATTTGGCTCTGGATGATTTATGCAGACTGCTATCTAAGGCATTAGATGACAAAGAGATAGCAGCAGCAACCTTTCTAGACATAGAACATGCGTCTAACAACGCAAAAACGCATTCAAAAGATTTCACAAAAGAACGAAGGCCCGCTTTCACAGAGGACCCAGTCGGACTTAGTCCATAAGGGCCATAGTAGATCTCCTGACAGCAAACTGTCGTCTAAATCGACATGAAACTCTTGGGTCTGGAGGAAGAGGTAACCCCAGTGCATCTACTATGTCACTGTGAAGGCCTGGCAAGGTTACGAATTCAGATAGTTGGAACCGCAGGTATAACAGCGGAAAGCTACATACAAGGACCTTTATCAAGGCTATGGAGTCTGACCAAAGGATCAAGGCTAGACACAGTTTTTAGAAATTTTATACGAAGATCACAATAGATCCTCTTCACAGTGACGTTAATGCTGGCTAGCCAACCCCTTACTTCTGTAATCTGTGATCTGTAATGCCTGTAATTCTTCAGTGAGGATATTACAACCTTTGACAGACATTTTTTCTGGTTTTGGGCTTTCATTACTTGGGTCATAATTATGATTCACTGTTCTCATGCCAGTATGAGCGTTTACCAGTATCGTGTATATGTATAGTTGACGAACATCAAAAATATTTTATTTTTAGAACAATAACTGTAATTGAGATAGCTTTGGCTTTCCAAGTTTCGAACGAATGTGATATTTTGAAGCCCCCCCGTGGCTGAGATGACTTTGAGCTAGGCGATAATATAATGTTCGGAGATGTAGAATATCCAACAATTTACTGAAATATCTGATATTGTATAGTACTGAGCGCTACTTCTATATACTCAATCTGGACGTCCAATATGAGATAAGCGTCAATATATGGTATGTTCTAAGATTCTTTATTCTTTGCACCGATATAACTTTACATTTGGTGTTATCCACTGTTATGTTTAACTCTTTTAGGGGCAACTATTTTATAAAATTTATTCTGTATTTGGGCATAACAAATAATTTTTGTATATTATTTGTTTCACACATAAAATGCTATTTGGGAATATAAATAATACTCATAACTTTACATATTTTTTATTTTCACATGTAATTTTTCATATATTTGCCAAATAATAAGTGGTGCTATATATATACCACCGCCCTGTTCCTATTTATTTCTGTGAAAGTCTTGGAAACAGGTTTTATTTTTAGTTAAACAAAGAGGCACGTTGCAAATGCTGCATACCCAGTCTGTTCTTACTTGTTTCTTTTAGTACCTCAGTAAGCACACCGACGTCGACTACCGCGTTTAGGTTGATGAGATGAACCTTCAAATCGAATATCTTCAGAAACATATGGTTTGATTTTTTTATGGCAACAGTTTCAAAAGCTGATAAAGCAGGTATTTTTCTATCTTCCAGCTGTTATACAACAAGACCTTGTATTATACTTATTCGGAAATCTCTCATAGAAAGTGTGGGTAGCTGTAATCCCTTATATAATACAAATGCATTAACAACAGCAGCATCCAGGAAAAAAAAAAGAAAATGCCACCATTTGTGGCTTTTCCGATCTATTTTGCAGGAAGTCAAATTTTGGTCAAACTTATCGACAAAAATCATATTGGCATTGTAATCAGAAAGGGCTTTTGGACAAGGTACTTTGGTAATTGATACATTATTTTCATTTTGGTTCACTTCAAGAATATCAGGGTCATGGAAGATATGCAGGAGGAAAACGGAACGCTTGTCCTTCCATTTAGGCTTTCCTGTATAAATATCAAATTTTAGACAGTACCCATTTTTATCTGCGAGCATCCACACTTTGTATCCCTTTTTAGTAGGTTTTTTGGCATATATTGTTTGAGAGAACTTCTTCCTTTGAATTTTATCATTGATTCAACTATGGCAACTTCACGACTTGGCAGCATACATTTTCCAAATGCCTCTGACATACTTTTCAGCAATGGCCTTACTTTGTACAGCTTGTCGTAATTGGCTTCCCCTTTTTTTGCCATCAATGAATTGTCATTCAAGTGAATATTGCCAAGCAACCAACTAAATCGCTTTACTGACATTAGATTACTGACATTAGATTACTGACATAAGAGTCATGAAGATCTGGCGCACTAGACCAATGGTCCCTATAACCTGGAAGGCGCTTTATGCCCATAAGTAAATTTAATCCCAAAAATGTATTAATTTCACGAACATCAGTAGGTTTATGCTTGCTAAACTTTTGTTGAGCATGCAGGTTCGTTTCAAAAACAATACTTTGTCATATTCGTTACACAATCTGCTAGACCAGAATGTGCAGTAAAATCTGGCGATGGTGTAGGAGTTTTCACATTAGACCAAACTGGAGATTTTCTTCCAACTGGTGAGGCAGATGAAGCTAGTTGCAGTCTTCTAGCGATAGTTGACAAAGGTAGGTCATCTTCAGAGAACCTACATGAACATATCAACACGTTGCTTCTAATAGTGGTTTCTGTATCACTTTCTTCGTCGTCTCTGTTACTGGCTAACGATTCACAATCAGATGGAATTTGTTCACCGTTTATACAACTTTGTTCCATTTCTGAATGAGTGTTTTCGAGTTCGGCATATAATTCACCTTCCGTCATATCGACTAATTTAAATGGCAAGACAGACATGTTGTAAGTCTGAAAATAAAAAAAAATAGGGTGAAAAATTTGTAGTATTGAGTATCAGTAAATATAAAGCATTAGAGATTTTTTTTCAAATAAATATTTGATAAAATCATAACAAAACAACTTTAAGAAGATAAGTACATCAAAATCAGACAATGTTACTTACTTTTTAGTATTTCCCCACTCACAGCTGGTATATATTCTTCACAAATAAATCATAACCTTACTTTGCTTTTTCATTCGGTATTCCGATCTCCCGCGCTATTGCGGCTACATGCGCTCTTTTATAGGCACGTGAACAAACTGCTGCTCGATCTGTACATGAAATTTTTAGCAGTGGTGCTAAATATGTACCACCGCCTAATTAAAGCATGCTTTGTGGTGGTTTATTTTATATACAATCGCCCTTGAAAGAGGTAAGGCTTTGTAAGTAGGCAAGTTGTTGTGTAAGAACAACATTCTGTTAACATCTTTAATCTAATGGTGGATGTAATATCGATAAAACATTGCACCCTTCAAATTGCATCTGTTTGCATGAATATCTAATATAAACGATCCATTATTAGTCAATAGGCATTAAAATTATCTGCAGCTATAAACAACGTTCGAGTGAACAGCGGCTGATAAAGCAGTTCACATTTTTTAACAAACCCTAAGCCCTCCGAAAGGACCAGCTACGTAACAGTGACAAATGGCCGAACGCAAGTAAAAAAGTGTTTCGTTGCTCGCTGGAGAAACAACACTGGAATATAAAGTGTCAACCGTTATCTAGAGCCCTTCTACAAACATACAAATCGCTCGGAATAAGACTGGCAAATAAAAACTCATTTATTAACCAGTATTTATTTGTTGTTTGCGTTGATGCCGCGATGCTCTCGCGGCGGTAACCAGCTTTGTGGTAGGATCGATATTCAGTTGGGCATTAATCTAATAATTTAGTGAAGGGACAAATATGTTTACGTCTTTTATTTTTATGCTTCTACTTTGCTTGCGAAGAATATGTTGCGCAAGGTCACTAGTGGTCTCCTCAAATGTGTGAGTTTCATATTCGACCCTTACCATTGGGATCTCGGAAAAGGTGAGGGGCTTATTTAGGTAACTAACAATTTGACGCTTAGAAAATTTCAATACTCAAAATAATTCCGGAGTGCGAAAAAACCTATTCCCAAAATGGTTTTAGTTTTTTCCTGACTTTACTTGTAGTGGCATTTCAAAATAAATTGTACACTACGGGCCGTATCGTCAGTCGTTCCTATAATTGTGGCATCCTTGATTTCCATAGTATTTTCTCTTCTTCAGAAAGGCTGGCATATATATTTCTAGGTTTCTACTGTTCCGTGTCAGCGTCAGCGCTCTCCTATAGTGAAGTTGTTTTCTTTTTGAATATTAAGACGTTTCTGGCTGATAAAAAAGTCAAGTTTTATCTGCTTAGAATTCAAAAAGAAAACATAACCTCAAGATACAGCGCTGCTACGAAATAGTAGAAGTTAGAAGGATAGGAAAAACTATGAAAAACAAGGAGACCATAAAGACGTCCTACAATTGTAGAAACGACTTACGATATGGCCCTTACATTGCAAGTTTCTCTAATCTACAAGATGGCATGATCAGAATTTTAATCTCTCTCTAGCAACAACTTTATTTTTTCTCATGAACGCATATTGGACTTGTGCACAAACAGAGTTCTCGATTACGAGTATGTTTCCAAAACTGTATTACGCATCATTCATTGTTATCGCCAAGACTTAGGGCCGATTTCACCAACATTATTATTATGGACCAATAAGAAAATACCTTATCGAAATGCAATTTGACGGAAGCTGTCAAAGGTCTCAGAATATCAGTGATTTCTATTAAAACGCTGAATAAAATCGTGAAAATTCGACAGCATTATAAACAAGACCACTTTTTGCTTCCAACATGATGCTTTTGTACAGAAAAAACAGGACAACTTTCATGTATTTTGATACATGTTATAGGTTTACATTTAACAATCCGTTATCCCCCTCAGCGAATGGGAATGCGGCAAATAATAGGTCGATTTTCTAGCTGTTAAATTTGGCAGCAGGTTTGGTCGTTTGTTAATTCATGGCAATCTCGAAATTTGTTAAGTTCAATATACTGTGTGTATATATGATCATTATAGCTACACATACCTATTGAATTGTGCGGATTTGCAAGAAAATAGTATATAAAATGTATTCCAACCAATTCCTCATCTCTCTTTACATCATAATAGTAATCATTTGTTATAAATTCATGGGTTAACGAATTTCTTCAAAGCAATCAAAACAGTATGTCGTCCCCATCCTAAAACACCGATATGTGTAAAACATGTTAATCACAACATCTCCGAGGTGCATAATGCAATTACTGTAGACATAGACCTAAAATTATTAGTAATTTCTGAAAAATAATGTCGGGCTCATGCACGACCTAACGTAACCGAATTTAAGGATCAGCTGTTTCTACACCAATGTCCTCCACATGTTACGCCGCCAGATGGTAACTAGCTAGTGATTTCCAGTGGTGGTCAAACGTTTTGGTGACGTCACAGCCATTTTTTGACATGATTCGGGTGGTTTCGGAACTCGTCTTACCCTTGGATAACCCTTTCTATCCTGTTCTATGCTCGTTTTGACGTAATTATAATAATTCTGTGGTGTCTCGTGTTCCACGACGATTTACGGTGAATCATCTGTTATTTTTGTTTGAGTTGTTGACGAATTTGCGGTAGAGATTTGCTTTGGTGTTCGTCTTCGGGTGTGTTTTTCTGCCTTGGACTTGTTTTTTGTGCGATTAATTGAGGATGGCCATGCATAGAGAAAAAAAACGAGAGCCGCGCTGGTATCAACTCCTGACCGTCGTGAAGAGGTACCTGCAGAAGGCACCTTAACGCAATCGGATATCGCCAGAGGAGCGCCTAATAATGACGTCGTGTACACGTTAAATCTGCACGAACCCCTAAATACGTGGTTATCTTGAATGTACCATCACCGATGGTGCGACTGATTATACACTGAAATTAAAACAAAAATCTGCAACTCCAATTGTATGTATGACTGTTGAAACTGTTGAACAGTTTCGAACCAGTGGGGTTAAAATATCGTTGAGGAACTGGAAAGAAGTGTATGAATGTGTTGAAATGCAACACCTAACAAAAATTTTAGTGAAAAGGCTTTTTCATGTAAGGGTTTGGAAGTGCAAGTTTGCAAATATAGGATAAACTATAAGCACACAGTAGGTGATATAATCACATATGGATTACAAAAGTTGCAGTAAACATGGAAAAACCTTCAGCTAATCTGAAAAAATAGATTTTACTCAGACATCAAGCATTTTTAAAAATTTTGGCTCAGTTTTACATAGTTTCATAATATTTAATAAACTGAAAAGATTTCAATGGCAAGCTGTCACTTCATATTTTACAGTGTTTTGTTTTGAATACTTTGATGCAATTTGCTGCCAAAAATTTGACGGAGAGATCTTGAGGCTGATTGGGTATATTTAACGGACTGTTTGGTACTCGTACCCTATTGGTGCAGAATAATGGTTTGTTAAATTGTGAACTCCACCTTTAGTAATTCAAAAAAAAAACATAACTTCCTAGGTAGGCCTTGAAATTATCAGGTAGTCATTTGTTCCGTATATCAGATTTATTGCAAAATAATTTTTATTCTGGCATTATTTGAGATGGGATTTAAAAATTAATTGCATGTTGCTATAACCACTTTATCTGCCCTACAAGATGGTGTTGTCAAACCTTCAGTTCAAGTTATTTGGTTGGTTTTTGGGTAGTTAGGCCGTCCTAAACTATTTTTATTTGACGTTTCGCCAACATGAACGGTACCAGTAGCTTACAGGACACCGAACTGTGAACACCTTCTGAAGATACCAACCCGTGTTGGCGAAACGCCAAATAAAAATATTTTACGATCGCTCAACTACCCAAAAACCAACCAAATAATATTGGATGATGGCCGCGAAAGCCTATCGCATTTCATTCTTTGACGGTTTCTTCTTCCAAAATCCATCACCAACCTTGCTCTTTTATATGGACCCAATATTGGAATTCTGTACATTTAAATATTATAAGTAATAAATGCTAGCTTAATTAACTTTATCGTGACATGAATAAATATAACATATCCATAACTAAATGCAGAATCAAAAATTGTATTCGATTGTGCATAATTTCAAGATTTATTTATCAAAATTTGGGGTATTCACAACCAAAGCCATCAAACACCTACTATGTTACAGTAAAATATGAGTAATGCGTACAAATGTATGGGATATTAAGATATATACGAAAAATGACTAATATGATGTGATTATTTACTTAAAAAATTGGATTTTTCTTTACGCTCAAAGATAGTGATGTTTTCACAAAACAGGTCATATGCACAAAACTGATTGTAGGATCTTGGTGCTGCCATTAGTGGAGAATTTATGCCTATATTAGTACGACAATATCGGAGTATAATAATGTTATAGTTAGTCATCAACACAATTGGCATTTTATCGGTTTTTTATATTATATACGTACACGTACCCTGCAGGAGGACAATCACTTCTCATCTAGCACGTCCTGACCATAAATTATCTCTTTCCCAAATTTAATGTTCGTAGGTCAAAGAGTGTTCGAGATAAATCTTTATAAACGTGAAGCGGTTTTTTTTTTCATTTTTGACCCCACCTCCGCCGCGGGACCGATTTTCACAAACTGCAAAACTGTTTTGCATTATTGTGAATTTTTCGACAATGGATGATTCTACCAAAAATGGGTAGCTCAATGTCATCAGTCAATAGATTTGAAGTTTTATTGAATTTTGTTTGTATTTAATTTTATTGTAAAATGACTAAAAGTCTTTTATTTGGTCGCCCAATTGCAACGATTTATTTTGAATACCAGTTTTTGAAAAAATACAAAAAATCCTCAAAACGTCAGTCCTTTGTCATTCCACAATCCCAAAAATGTACAATCAAGTGTGGCCGTCTAT